CGCTTAGGTGTGTTCCAGGATCAACCATTTGGGTGGGAAAAACGTGGCTGGCGCCCGCAAGTGCATTTTTGCATCCTGGGCAGGGACACTGCCTGGCCTAGGGAAGGAGCCGGCATGGTATGACATCAGCCGTGGTTTGGAAAGCGCGGCGCTGCTGCTCAACGGCGCAGGGCCTTGTAGTACAGCTCGATGTACTCCAGCGCGGGTTTGGCCCAGGACCAGTCCATGCGCATGACCCGCTCCGTCATCTCCTGCCACCACGCTCTCTCGCTGTACCATGCGGTCAGCGCTCTGTGGGCGTGGGTGTGAGAAAGAGCATGGAGGGTGGCTGAGAAGCGGGGGAAGCCAGGGCTGAGAAGTTGCGGGCCGTGCAATCACAGGCAAGATCTTCAGGCTGCCATCGCCCTTGCCCAATGAGTCACCTGTTGAGCGCATAATCGATGCCGGGGCCGTCGGTGCCCTCGAAGGAGAAGCCATTGACCGCCATGCCCGCAGCAGCGGCCCTTTCTACATCGTGATCCACGTCAAACACTGCATAGACGTGTGGTGAGCGATGAGGATGGAGATTTTCAGTGAGGGCTGTGGCTACCAACAGGCACGTCTCGAAGATACAACTTTGGCTCATGCAGAATGGACTCCCAGGTTGAAGTCGGGATGAGTAAAGGACGACCTCCCTGCTTGAAAGTCGTCCAGCATCCCTGTCCTTTTCAGCCCAAAGAGGTGCCCCAACAATGCCCCCTTACCGGTGTCATTCAATCCGCCGGTCTTTCGGACCACGGGGATGGTTCCATACCGCATGGCAATCATCTGCAGGGAGCGGCATGGGCGTCTCAAGTGAGCATTTACGATGTGCTCACACCCTCCTCTCCATGCTCAGCAGCTTCCCCTTATGACCAGTCTGCCCTATCCACAGCGCCCATCGTCCCACATGCCACGGACTCGCTTCGCATGCCTAATGTCGTTTCCCCTCATCTTCCCCTTCCCACAAGTACAAGCCACCACCACCTGTGTGAGCCCGCAGGGCTCGAACATGGAGGGCACCAGCAGCATGTCCGCCCCTGCGTAGATCAGGTGGCTCAGCGGCTCATTGTACGCAAACCACAGGCGCGCACGATCGGGGTACTGCCGCGCCAGGTCAGCGGCCAGCGCGTTGAACTCGGCCTGCAATATGCGGAGGTCGTGTGGTTGGGTTGTTGGAGGCTGTGTGGTTGGTGGCACGGCGCGCGAGGCAGCGAGGCACCAGGCCGCTGATTACTCCACCTATTTCACAGAAAGGGCTGCATCAAGCAGGCTCAGACATCGCGCCCTCCGACTTCAAGGCAGCAGGGAAGTGCTGTGAGAGAAACCCCCTCGCACGGCCCCCATTTTACCCCTCCACATCAACGGCCCCCTCAAAACTGATCCCCAGCAACCCGTACCTCCCCCACCATGCACCCTACCTGCACGCGCGCGTCGGGCGCGGAGCCCAGCAGCACAAACTGGCCGCCTCGCTCCAGGGTGCGCCAGGCCGCGTGCTTGATCAGGTGCACGCCCTTCTGGTGAGTCAGGCGCGTGACCACGCCCACCAGCGGCACGTCCGCCTCGCACAGGTTCATCTTGGCGCGGAGCTCCGCCTTGGCCGCCGCTTTGCCCTCCGTGAAGGTGTCGGCGCTGTAGCTGCGCGGCAGGAACTCGTCCTCCGCCGGGTCCCAAATCTCGGGGTCGATCCCGTTGCGGATGCCGTGGAACTTGGCGTGGTTGGGCGCGACGGCGGGGTGCCCCGACACCTCCTGCGCATACGTGGGCGACACCTACGATGTGCGTTGGGGAGGGAGGAAAGGGTGGCTGCTTGGGTGAGGGGGAGGAGGGTGTGTGGACGCAGAGTTTTGGCATCCAGGTGCGGCGGGGGGGGCCGGCCAGGCGCGAGCCGGGCTCCATTCCCACGCATGGCCCATACAAGTCTCGAATCCACCTCGACGCCCTTCTCCCTTTCCACCATGCACGCCCTTTCCCCCACACAATCCACGCACCGTCGTCGCGACGGCCGTCGCGCCCATGGCGCGCTCGATGAGGTCAGCGCCGTAGTTCAGGTTGTGGATGGTGAAGGCGGTGCGGGCGGTACCGCAGTCCAGCCAGGTGCAGGGTGCGGACTGCCAGTCGTGGGCGTGCAGGATGTCCGGGCTGGATTTTGGGAGGAGGAAAGGGTGAGGAGGGATTGTGACTAGTGGGCACAGGAGTAACTTCCCGAGGGGACGGGGAGCACGGGGTCTGGCAGCGCCGTCGTCGCATGCCCCAGCCTGCCATCTGAGGCGGGACAGATCCACTCGCCCGCCAGCCGCCAAGTTCCTGCCTGCACCCGCCACCCCCACATCCTCAGCCCCACATGCGCTTCTCGGCGTGGTGGCGCAGGTACTCCAGCGCGGCCTCACACCAGACCCCGAACCGGTGCCGGTCGGCGTTCATCTCGGTGTAGATGCGGCCGACCCAGAACATGCCGTTGCACGGCTCCAGGAAGGTGGTGTGCAGGTCTGGGGAAGAGGAGGTGGGGGGCGGCAATGAGGTCACGAAGCGGGTGCAGTGCACGCCTGAGCGCTGAAGCTCTAGGGGCCGACAAGGACCAGGTTCACCTGCCCAAGACCATGCCCTCCTCTCGGTCCATTCGCAAGACAACTTGCCCATGTCTAGCCTCTCTGCCCGCCAGTGCCCCCCCCTCCCCCCCCATCCCGCACCCACCTTCTACGATGCCCTTCCAGACCTTGATCTCCACGCCATTGTACCAAAACTCCTTCACCAGCTTCAGGTCCTGCGACGCCACCGGGCCGAGGACTCGTGTGTGACCGGCGCCAAGGGACCAACTGGCACCGGCTCACGCCCACACATGGGCACCGGCGGTGCTCCAGACACTGGGTGACCTCCTCGCACCCTCGCCCTGCCAAAGGCCTCCATCATCCCGCGCGCAGGTGCTCCCCATCCCGATCTCGTCCCCGCCTGCCTCCCCCGCCCTGGCTCTCCCCCGCCTCCCCACCCCACAGCGCGTCCCTCACCTTCCCCCACCCTCCACCGCCCCCGCTCACCTCCACCAGGTCGTAGTTGATGCAGTCGTACTTGGGCAGCACGATCTCCACCTCGTGCCCCTCCTCCTGCACCGCCCGCCCCAGCGCGGTCACCACGTCGCCCAGGCCGCCCTCCTTGGCGATGGGCGCCATCTCCGCCGCGACATGCACGACGCGCAGCGGGTCCAGCGCCCCCTGCCCCCCCGCCACGGGCAGGTGGTAGTCCAGGCCGCGGTTGTCGTCGGTGAAGCCGCCGTGCGCGTCGCCCGAGTCCAGGAAGACCAGGTCCAGGACGTGCGCGGCGCGCGGCACCTGGATGGTGGTGGCGTGGAAGCCGCCCACGCCCGTGGCCCGCATGGCCTGGGGCGGGAAGTTGCCCGCGGTCCAGCGGTTGAACCCGCCACGCACCCACACCTCTGGCCGGCCGCGCAGGGTGGTGAGGTCGGGGTTGTACAGCAGCTCCACCGCCTCGCCCGCACGCGGCGTGGTGGGGCGGGTGTACAGGAAGGCGGCCTGCGCCGCGCGCCGCGCCTTGGCCGCCTCGTACTTGATCTCCGCCTTCTCCAGAGCGCGCTTGGCCGCCAGGTCCTCCTGCCGCGCCGCGGCGTCGGCGTCGCGCTCCAGCGCGGCGCGCGCCAGCCGCGCCGCCAGCTCGGCGTCGGCCATCGCGCCGGCCAGCGCGGTGTGGTAGTCGCGGCGCTCGTTGTTGTCCCACGCCTCGCGCCGCTCGTCGCAGAACACAAAGTCCACCACCAGCGCCACCTCGTCCAGCTCCACCTGGGGGTGTGGCGCAGTGGAGGGGGTCTGGGTGTTGTCGAGATGGCTGGGACATGACGTATGAGAGCATGGCAGGGATACGTGGGGGAACACAGACTGTGGTGCGGGAGACCGATGCGCGGGGGCTGCAGGGGGCTGCCTGCTCCACCAGGCGCTCGCTGGGCCCTTGACCATGAAGCCTGTCTGGATTGGGAGGCTTTTTTGCAGGCCAGTCAAGCACACCTGGACCCGCCCATCCCACAACAACCCCCCCTTCCTACCGTGGCCGCGACCCAGGTGCCGGAGCTGAGCCCGTGCCTCCTGACCTGGGCGTCGCTCAGTGGCTCCAGCTTGACCACGGTCTTGCCCTGAGCCAGGGGAGGAAAGGGGGGAAGTGTTGGTGGGGGACGTGGGTGGGGCACCGCGCAGTGCCGGGAGGTGTGTCATGGATGCGCGCTCGACGAGCGCGTGGGCAGGGCGCCTGCCAGCGCGCCAGGGCACTCATTGAATGCCCTCCCGCAGATGAGCCTCAGTTCAGCGGCCCGGGGACTCCTTCAGCGACAGGTTCCCCCCCTTCCTCCCCTCGACCCCTCAAAGTGCCTCACCTTGAGGTGCCAGTTGTCGAAGCCGATCACCGCCTGGGCGGAGTCCCGCCCCCTCAGCGGCCCCGCCCGCAGGTTGTAGGCCAGGGTCGCGTGGGCCCCCGCCCGCGGCTCGCCCCCCAGCCAGGCGTACACCCCCTCCCGCTGCGGCGCGGCGGTCAGGTCCTCCAGCCCCCGCCTGCGCCGCGCCACCGCCAGCGCCGCGGCTCGGTGTGCGGCGCGCTCCTTGCGCACGCGGAAGGCGGTGCGGGCGGCCTTGGACGCCGCCTGCGCGGCCACCATGCTCTCCTGGTGCAGGCGACCCTCCTCGGCCTCCAGCTCGCGGCGCCGCGCCGCCTCCGCGGCCTCGAACAGCTCCAGGCGGCGCACGTGCAGCTGCTGCTCGGAGACCGCGCCCTCCAGCTCCAGCACAAAGTTGCTGCCGCTGCGGGGTGTGTGTGTGTGTTTTCGGCGGGGGGGGGGAAGTGATGCTTCGATTCCATCATCCTGCACCGCTCCGCCCCCCTCCTCCCCCTACCCACCCACCATCCACACTGTGCTGCGCGCACGCCTCACCTGTTGTTGTCGTGAACCCCGCCGGCCTCGTCGAACACCACAAACTCGGCGCGGGTGAGGAGGTCGGGGATGCCCAGATCCGCGCACCACCACTCGCCCGCCTCCAGGCTGGCCACACGGCGCAGGGGCAGCGTCTGCTGCGTCTCCCACCCGTTCCAGCCCACCTGGAAAGGGGGGGGTGGGGGGGGCAAGAGGATGTTGGAAAAGGTGGGGAAGGGATGTGCCAGGAGGTCCGGAAGGCCGGCTGCTTGGGAATCGCACGATGCCCCCATCCTCCGCGCCGCCGCCAGCAAGCCCTGTTCCTCCCCCCAGCCCCGAATAGTCCCTCACCTTGATGGTGGGGCGGGCTTCGGCCGCGGGCAGGGGTCCCGCGGCGCGGTCGTAATACAGCCTGATGGTGGTGCCCACCGCCACCCGGCCCTCCGGCACGGAAAAGGTCCGGTTCCCTGCCGCCGAGGCGGCGCTGGCCAGCCGCTGGATCTCGGCGGTGGACAGGCTGGGCGGCGACGCTTCCTCACCCTTGGACTTCTGAGCGCGGCCGTGTGAATGTGATGAAACTTTGCGGAAATGAGGTCAGGCATGGAACCCCAATACTATGTTCTCAGAGACCCTGTCGCATCACACCTGCAGCCCCGCTCTCTCAAGCAAAAATCACACCGTAATCTCCCTCTCTCACCGTCCGAGACGCCTTGCTGGCGTCTGCGGAGGCAGAGCTGTCCATGGAATCGCCTGGGGTGATGGGACAGGGCTGTGATCTGGGTGAGGAGGCATGCACCACACACTGCAAGCACACTGCTCTAATGCAGGACAAGGTCACCCTGCCCGGCTCCCGATCCTCGTTCCCATCAGCTGTTAGGAGAAAGCAAGGTGTAACGCGACAGCAATAACGGCAGGCCGCGTTGCACCCATCCAGAGGCTGGCTCTCTGCTCCCACAGCCAAGCCCCAACCATGCACCCACCCGCTACGCCGAGGGAGAACTTGTCCTTGACTGCAGCCAGGCGGCGCTCGGCATCCGCCTTGTTGGATGCCAGCTGGAGCACCAGCCGCTGGAGGGCTTCGTTCTCGGTCTGCAAAGTGGGAGATGCATGGAATACTGGTCACTCCGCCCTTGGCCTCCTCAGGGTGGAGGATGCAGCCTGAGCATGCAAAAGGATGATGGAAATCCTTGCCCAGACAATGCTCCCACCTTGAGCCTCTGGAGCTCCAGGACATGGGGCTCCCCCTGTTCTGCCTTTCTTGCAGCCCTCGCCAGGGAATCGGCTTGGGCAGCCTGCTTTGCCAGATCGGTGGCCTGCGCCTTGGTCAGCTCCGCCAGCCTGAAGGAGATGGGCACGGGGAGTGAGGCACACAGAGGTCGCAAGGTTGCGCAATCCAGCAGGCTGGATCAAGCTTGCCCATGGTCCAGGAGCGGTGTCAGCGTGCATGCAAGACGCCCCTGGAAGCTGACGACAGCGAGGCAACTCACTCCTTGGCTTTGCCCGGGTTGGCGTTCCTCTGGGTACCGGCCCTGGCAGCGGCCGCGGCAGCCTTCTGCTCCTCTGACAGCTTGCGAGCCAATGATTTGGCAGCACTGTGAGGAAGGTGAGGACAGGGTGGCAGTGACGCACAGCTTGCACTCAGCGCTCTGAGCTTGCCTCGGGTAGCATTCCAGTCCGACAAGACCCGTGTCAGTGCCAGATGTGCTGCTTGGGCAGCATTGGCACCGCATGTGCAAGCGTTTAATCCCTGTGCCTGCTCCCAAGGACCCCATCCCACCTGATCTTGGCTGCTGCCGCCACCTTGAAAGCCTGGTGCGGCGTGCTCTCTGGCATTGGCGCTCCATTGGTGTCCGACGCCTTGCTGCCCTTGCTACGGCTGGTACCGGCCTCTCCATTTGCCGATACCCTCACGGGGCGTCGAGCAGTGGTAGTCGCTGGGCTGAAGACCCTATGTCCAGGCTTGCAGGCGACCTGACCTGCGAGACCGAGGTGTCCCACCATTGCTCCCGACTGCGTCGTTGCTGCAAGGGGGTGAGCATGTTGCGGATGCAGTTTCGAGAGAGCCTTGCTCGTGGAGTGCAATAATACACACTGTATGGATCCCTGCATGCCACGTACCGCAAGTACAGGATCCCTGGGCACGTATGCGACCCGATACCCCCGGGCGCTCCTTGGACCCTATAGAAGAGGAGTAAGCCAAGGCCCCCTGATCTTTTGGTTTTAAACTTGTGCCTGTTTGGATATCAGGAATTCGTAGCGGATGCCTCACGGACACTGCTTTTGCGACTGTGGGGACTCGGCGCAATGGTAGGGCCATGCACGACGAAATCCGCATGGGCTGACGCAGAAAATTCAAGGAGGGGTGGGAACAGGTGAGGCTGCTCTCTGCAGGCCCCATGCCAGCATGGGATCGTGTGCAGAATTCATCCTCCTACGCTCACCAACGCCCTATCACGCTCACAGGAGCGCCCACCGCACGAGGTTGAGGCTGCGTTCTGGGGGATTGTGGAGGGGGGCACCGAGCGAGTGGAGGTCCTGCATGGCAGCACCGACCCCATGGCCCTGTTCCAGGAGGCAAGCGACCTTAGGACCCTCTGCGACCTCGGCCCAGGCTCAATCCTGGCATGCATGGACGAGGCTGAACGGGGTGAGGAGGAGTGGATTCCTGCCGGGTGTCTGCTACTGGATGGGGCTGGAGGGTCCACAGCGACGGCCTCGCTTTTGCTTGGGCAGGAAGTTCCAGCACATACCGATCGACGGTGTGGCGTGTAACCCACTTGACCTCCACCCTCACATCCCACAGCAACGCTGGCTCCAAGGCTGGAGGCCGGCATGGTCTTCTCCCGCCCTCCCACCCCCCCCCCACCCCCTCTGGTTCGCTGACTGAGCAACCAACTGCGCCAGTCAGATCCCGCTTGCGGGAACAAGCTGCTAGCAACCGGCGCAAGCCCGGTAGGGATCTGTTTGCCTAAGCAGATCCCAACCTACTATGTTTGCAGTTCCAACTTTGCCTGATCTGCATGCTGGCGCCAGAGAGACTGTGCTTCGAGGGTCAAACATTGTGGAAATCGTTGCATTTCTTAATGTTTCCTTGCTTGCTTTGGAATTTCGCAAACCATCAGGTGTTGTTCTCAGCACCTCTAACTGAGTAATCAAATGCTTGTCACCTTCAAAATATGCAAAATTGCTCTCCAGGAAAAGCCATGCACACCTCCCCTCCGTGCTTTCTAGAAGGGAGTTTAATATGCGCCGACTTGAGGCCGTGGTCGAGGTTTAGAGTGGGGCCGAGCCCTCGCCACACCTCTTCTCGACTCACCATACGAAAGTTACTCGACAGAGAATCCAAATAAACCTCAACTTTGGCATGACCTCTTGGGACCAGCAAGGCAACTACTCCAATGGCTCCGGCGCAGGCCAGGGCTCTCGGGGTAGCGGTGAGTGGACCCGGCGGAGCTTTTGCGGACTTTTCTCCTTTTAATTCCATTGACAATTTGTTCCCGATGGTGTGGGGCGTGATTTGGTTCTCCCCGAGCACTAACGTCCCCCACCACACGCACCCACCCGTGCCGCGCAGGTTACGTCCCGCCGCACATGAGGGGAGCTGGAGGTGCGCGGTGTCCCGTCGACACAGGGCTTCCGGCACCGGAGGCGCTCGACATGCGTTCTTATGTCCTGCTTGCCGGGCAGCCTCTTTGTTACATTCCTCAGACCTTCTCCCCTGCACATAGCGTGCTGACCCTCCAAACCCTCACTCCTCTTTCCCCAGGTGCTCCTCAAGCTTACAACGGTGGCGGTGGTGGTGGCTTCAATGGCGCCGGCGGTGGTGGCTACGGCGGTGGCGCCGGCTACGGCGGCGGCGGCGGCTACGGCGGCGGCGGCGGTGGCTAAGGCGGCGGCTATGACCGCGGCTACGGCGGCCGCGGCGGCCGCGGTGGCGGCGGGTACGGCGGCGGCAGCCGCCCCCGTGGCAACTGGGAGCTCCGCGGCGACGTGGAGAAGGACCCCTTTGCGGAGGCGGAGGCCACCAACAAGGATGCTGACGAGCTGTTTGCCGGCGAGAACACTGGCATCAACTTTGACGCGTACGAGGACATCCCCGTGGAGGCCACGGGGTCCAACGTGCCGGAGCCCATCTCCACCTTCCAGGACATCGACATGGGCAAGGAGCTGATGGAGAACGTGCGTCGGTGCAAGTACACCAAGCCCACCCCCGTCCAGCGCTACTCCATCCCCATCGGCATGGCGGGGCGCGACCTGATGGCCTGCGCACAGACCGGCTCCGGCAAGACCGCCGCCTTCTGCTTCCCCATCATCGCACACGCTCTGCATGGCGGGTTCCAGCCCGGCGCACGCGGGCGCAAGGCCTTCCCCCTGGCCCTGGTGCTGTCCCCCACCCGCGAGCTGTCCTCCCAGATCTACGACGAGGCGCGCAAGTTCTGCTACCAGACCGGGGTGCGCCCCGTGGTCGTCTACGGCGGCGCGCCGCAGGTCCAGCAGCTGCGCGAGCTGGAACGTGGCTGCGACTTCCTGGTGGCCACCCCCGGCCGCCTAATTGACATTATGGACCGCGGTCGTGTGTCCCTCGCCAAGGTGGGTGGGTGTGGGTGTGCTTGCTCTGAGAACGGTTTCCTGGTGGTATGTGTGTGTGTGTGTGAGGGGTGTGCATGCTGGAGGCTGGGTGAAGGAGGTGTGAGACTTGTCGCTGCCGCCTGGAGTCTCCTTCATCGCCCAACCTCAAAAGACGCGATAAACTTATCGAGCACTCACACACAGATACAAACACGCACACCAACATCACCAGCCCCCCCCCCCCCCCGGGCGCAGATCCGGTACCTGGCCCTGGATGAGGCGGACCGCATGCTGGATATGGGATTCGAGCCCCAGATCCGGCGCATCGTGCAGGGTGAGGACATGCCCCCTGTGGGCCGTCGCCAGACCCTGCTCTTCTCTGCCACCTTCCCCAAGGAGATTCAGCGTCTGGCCGCCGACTTCCTGCACGACTACGTTTTCCTGGCGGTGGGCCGCGTCGGCTCCTCCACCGAGCTCATCGTGCAGCACATCGAGTTTGTCCCCGGGCACGAGAAGCGCCAGATGGTGCTGGACCTGGTGCAGTCGCTGGCGGAGGGCCTGACCCTGGTGTTTGTGGAGACCAAGAAGGGCGCTGACGCGCTGGAGGACTTCCTGGTGCGCAACGGCATCCCCGCCACCTCCATCCACGGCGACCGCAGCCAGGCGGAGCGCGAGGCCGCGCTGCGCAGCTTCCGCTCCGGCCGCACGCCCGTGCTGGTGGCCACCGACGTCGCGGCGCGCGGGCTGGACATCCCCCACGTCACCCATGTCATCAACTTCGACCTCCCCGCTGACGTAGACGACTACGTGCACCGCATCGGGCGCACGGGGCGCGCAGGGAAGAAGGGGCTGGCCACCGCCTTCTTCTCTGACAAGGACGCGGGCATGGCGGGGAAGCTGGTGGAGCTGCTGCAGGAGACCAATCAGGAGGTCCCCGGCTGGCTCCAGAACACCGCCGCGCGCGCGGGCAGCTACGGCGGGGGCGGCGGCAAGGGGCGCCGCGGCGGCTCGCGCTTCGGCGGCCGCGACTTCCGCCAGGACCGCGGATGTGAGTGTCTTTTGTGGGTGGGGGGGGGTGGGGGTGGGGTGCGCGGGAATAGTATGCCGGGAGGGCGAGTACGAGACTCGGGCCCCCGCGAGGTTCCGAGTCGCTGAGGAGCTGTATCGCAGGGGGCCTGGTGGCTTGGGCCACGAGTCGCGAGAGGCAGACTGACGTTTTATGGGCCAAAGCAGTGCCGGGGAGTGGGAGTGCAATCGGCTCTCAAGCCTCGCCGATGCGTGTTATCTCATCATGGCGCTGGCCACTCAACTCCCCCCCCCATCCCCCCGGGCAGACAATGGCGGCGGCGGCGGCGGTGGTGGTGGCTATGGCGGCGGCGGCGGGTATGGTGGCGGCGGCTACGGCGGCGGCTACGGCGGCGGCGGCTACGGCGGCGGCGGCGGCTACGGTGGCGGCGCGGGGGGTGGCGGCTATGGCGGCCACTCTGGCGGTGGCGGCCAGTCCGCCTGGGATTAGGGGCCGCTGACCGCCGCAGGTGCCAGCCCGCACCACTCCCAAACAGGAGGGCACCCCCTGCCTCGGCATAGGGTGCCCGGAGCCGCCAGTAGCATGGACAAATGACCAGCCCCCTCACACACATCTGGATCGAGGGAGGGGCTTGTGGGTGCCAGCCGGGCCCCTTTTGGGGGGGGTGGCGCGCACCCCTGCGATCCCCTGGGTCCCAGGGGACGTCCTTGCCCCGGCCTGCGCCCGACTCACAGTCCCCCCTTCTCATACCCTTTGCCCTTCCCGCTGCTTTTTACATCCGACACCCCCTCTGCACCGAGCCTCCTGCCCATGCTTGTCGCTGCGATGAGGCACACCCGACACCCGCGGATGGTCACCACTCGATACTCCCCCCCAACCCACCACACTACCCATTCCTTGCGCCAGCTGAGCTCCGGAGCGCCCAGCACTCTGACCCCGCCCGGGTCAGGACTTTGTCGTGTCAACGGCCCATGCGCCCGTTTCCTGTACTGTGTGTGTGATCGCGCGTGACAGAGTCCCACTCTGCTTCTTTCGGCTTGTACGCTCCCTGTTTGGTGCAATGAAACGAATGGTGACCCCCTCCCAAAGAGCCCCTGCGGCGTCTGCATGCTGCTGCTGCACATGATGCAACGGTGTGTGATGTGCAGTCCTGGACAGGCCCGGCGGGGCAGGTGCAGGGAGGGGAGTTGGAGGTATGAGTCAATGCCAGAATCCGGGTCGACGCATGCCCCCTTCCGAACTGGAAAGCCGGGATTCGGGGCCCACCTGGCGACGCCCGGGGTGCAGGCATGACAACAACCCCAGGCTGGGCCCCCGGAACCGGTAAACCGCACGCGATTGAGTTGCTGGGTCGCGACATGCCCATCTGAAGCAAGTGCTGGCCTCCAGACCATGCGGACCGCCCAGCTCACGGTGGGAGCCGGCCCGAGCCGGGGCCCCACCCCCCCGAACCGATCATGGGCGTCGCCTGGGCGCACCAGAGCCCGCGCACCCTTCTCTCCACGCCGCACCACGCGGGCAATGGCCACACAGGACCCTCCGGATCTGCCCAAGGCCCGTGACGCGAGCGGGAAGCAGGGGGACTGGTTCCAAATGCTGCTGGCCCGGTTCAACCCAATCAGCGAGAAGGCCAGCAACACCGCGGTGCTCGATTTCGAGAAACCCCTCGTAGAACTGGATCACAAGATTAGAGAGGTGCGGGTATGGGGCGGGGCGGGGCACTGGAAAGCTGGCATCGCCGGGCGGGGTGTCGGCTTTGGGTCGCGGGGCAGGGCCGGGTGGGAAGGCCCGCAGCTGGCGTGTGGGTGCATGTGCCGGTGCCACGAGATCATTGCCCCACCGCCATGCTACGCCCGGCGTCTCGCAGGTGCGCAAGGTGGCTGAGCAGAACGGCGTGGACGTCAGCTCCCAGATCAAGGAGCTGGAGGCCAGGGCCCGCCAGGTGAGCAGTCAGGCTTGTTCTGTAGTTTAGTGCAGGGTTTTGCAATGCGTTGCTGAGGCGGTGCTGGTGCATGGCCCTGCCGACTGCTTTTCATCCTGGCTTCAGCGCCCATGGTCGGCCTGGACGGACGGCAGCCCTGCTCTGTGCTCCTGCCCTGCAACCTGCCCAGGCCACCCGCCTGAAGTTTCTCTCCTCACACCACTCCTTTGATTCTTACTCACTCCGTCCCCACCTGAATCACCCGCAGCTGCGCAAGGAGACGTACGCCAAGCTGACGCCCATCCAGCGGCTGCAGGTGGCACGCCACCCCAACCGCCCCACCTTCCTGGACATCGCGCTGAACATCACCGACAAGTTTGTGGAGCTGCACGGCGACCGCATGGGCCTGGACGACCCGGCCCTGGTCTGCGGCATTGCCTCCATGGACGAGACCTCCTTCATGTTCATCGGGCACCAGAAGGGGCGCAACACCAAGGAGAATATCTACCGCAACTTTGGCATGCCCCAGCCCAACGGCTACCGGAAGGCCCTGCGCTTCATGCGCATGGCCGATAAGTTTGGCTTCCCTATCATCACCTTTGTCGACACGCCCGGCGCCTACGCCGGGCTCAAGGCCGAGGAGCTTGGGCAGGTGGGCTGGGAAGGGGGGTGAGGGAGGCTCCGAGGCTCTCGCTCGCGGGACAAGACACTCTGGGCCAATTCCCTCCGGCCATCGGCACATCAAGGCATCGCATGCCCTGCATACACACACACACACACCACTCCCTCTCTTTCCTCCTGCAGGGCGAGGCCATCGCGATGAACCTGCGCGAGATGTTCAACTTCCGCGTGCCCATCATCTCCATCGTGATCGGGGAGGGCGGCTCCGGCGGCGCACTGGCCATCGGCTGCGCCAACCGCATGCTGATCATGGAGAACGCGGTGTATTACGTGGCCTCGCCTGAGGCCTGCGCCGCAATCCTGTGGAAGTCGCGGGACAAGGCGGGCGTGGCCACCGAGGCCCTGAAGATTACGCCCCGCGACCTCGTCGGCCTCGGCGTCATGGACGAGATTGTGCCAGAGCCTCTGGGCGCAGCGCACACCGACCCCATGGGCGCCTTCCCCGCAGTGCGCGAGGCGGTGCTGCGCCACTACCGTGACTACGTGGGCCGGTCCGCCACCGAGATCATGGCCGACAGGTACATGAAGTTCCGACACATCGGCGTGTACGAGGAGTTCCTGGTGGCAGGGGGCGACGTCGAGGCCGCGCGCGCGCAGCGGGAGGAGGTGGGTGCAGGGCTGGTGGGCCGGGGGGTTGGGGGAGGGGGGGAGAGTGTGTGTGGTGGCTGGGTGGGGCATGTGTGTGGAACTGTGAAGGCAGGGGATTCAACAAGCTTGGCCCCAGGGGGCCGCTCGAGGCAGAGTGTGGGAGGCGCCGGGCCGGCCCTATACCCATCCCGGCATAGTGAGCGCCCGCCCGCAGCTTCTCAACCCCTTTCCTCCCCACCCATTCCCCCTTTCCAGGCCCCGGGAGCATACACCAAGGCGGGGACGTGGGCGCCCACGGAGGCTGACGCGCGGTACATCGAGAAGTGCGCCGACGCCGACGAGAAGTGGGAGCAGGTGTGTGTGTGTGGAGGGGGGGAAGGGGCAGGGATCGAATGTGCGCGAGGGTGTCGCAGCCACCCGTGGTGCGGCAGGCAGGACGGCGCCGGGGCGTGCCGGGATGGTGCGGGGTGCCCTGGGGGAGGGAGACGGGGCGACGCGCGCGCTGCCTGCCTGTGTCCTGGAAGCCTCTGCACCGAAGTAGTCTTGCCACCCCCACCCCCACCCGCGTGCCCGCAGTCCCTGATTGGCAAGGAGCAGTGGCTCAACCCACCCAAGGTGGACCACCCGGGCTGGCTCAAACCAGGTGCGTATCGTGCAGCAAGCCTGGCAAAGGAGGGGTGGGCGGAGGTTTGGGCTGGGGCGTGCCTGGCGCGATGTGCTTCAGCCTCGGGCACCGGCATACCTCGGTGTGGTCGTGAACCTGACCCAGGAACTCAGCAGCGCCCTCATGCTCCCCACCCTCCCCCACCCCAAACAGGCTGGACCGAGTTCGTGCTGGCCCTGGAGGAGGCCCTGGAGGAGGAGGAGGCGGAGGCGGAGGAGGGCGAGGCCGGCGAGGGCGCCGGCTTCGAAGACGACAGCGACGAGGAGGGGCACGACGCCACGCTTTCCAACGGCGCGCGCAACCTGGCCGAGGCCGACGCGGCCTGACGTGGGCAGCGGCGACGAGGCCGACTCCCTGTCTTCTCTCCTTCGGTTTGCACCGAGGCCGTGCGTGCGGCTGTGCCATTCGGCATGCTGCGGGGCTTCACCCCCTCGGCCCTGCCCTGCAGGCCCTGCACCTCCCCTGCTCTCTTTGGTCCCACATCCCCCCCCTCTACCCCTGCCACTGCCAGCTGCGAGGTGGACCCCTCCTTGGGACAAGTGGGGGCTCCCCGAACCGTCGAATGCCCCGTTGTGACGCTCAACCCCTGGTGTACACGGGAGTGGGGGAAGAGGGCATGCATTCCGGGGCCCCGCCTCACACCTCGTGCACGTACTGCTTGCTGGCCGCGTAGTAGCTGGCCTCGCTGGCGCCCTTCTTCGCGTTCCGTGCCTCGTACTGCGCGCGGTTGTCCACGATGCGTCGGATGACGGTAGCGCTGGTCACCGGGCTGGGCGACGCCAGGCGGCGGAAGGTGCCATGCGCGATGGGGACCTCATACCTCCCACGCTCACTGGACGCGTCGCCGCTCTCGTGCACGCTGCCGCGCACCACCTCGCCGATGCCAAAGGTGGTCAGCAGGTCCTCGGTCACGGTCTGGGGCGCGCCTGCGGAAGGAGAGGAGGGGGTGTTTGGAGGGAGGGGGAGGGGGTGCTTGAGAGCAAGGGCAGGGTGGGCGTGGGGAAGAGGGACGGGGTGAGGGGGCTCAGAGTGAGGGGAGGACCACCAGCCCAGGGGAGCAATATCACGGAGGAGAGCGACGGACAGCGGTGCAAACTTGCAAGAAGAGGCGATCCATGGCTGGCGCAGGGCGCTGTGACCCATGTGACCACTGCGCTGCCTTGCCACCACAGCATGCATCGTGCTGACCAACTAACCAGGCACACCCACAAAGCTTGTCCTTCGACAAAGCACACCCCTTGAAACCCCAGCGCGCACCTATGATGACCTCGTCCGCGTACTTGCAGGCCAGCACCGACAGCGCGCGCTCATGCAAGTTCATGATGGGCTGGTGGGGACCCCGCCGCTCGGCCACGTCCTCGTCGGTGTGGATGCCCACCAGCAGGAAGTCGCCCTTGGAGCGCGCCGCCTGTGGTGTTGCACGGGTGAGAGCTTGCGGGGCGGCCGAGGTGGCACCTCGGCAGAGCAAGGGAGTGACTGGAATGTGTCAGGCTGGATGCCAGGGCTAGCGCCGGGATGCCAGGTCCTTGCAGCGCAGAGGCCATGTAGCCGTCGTGTGATGCCCCAGCCAAGCCCATCCAGAGCCACACTGCCCTTGGTCCCCTGCTGCAAGGCGCTGCAGGACACTCGGGCGGTCTTCTGGAAACCCCATCCATCCAGCGCACCTTGAGGATGTCCACGTGGCCCACGTGAAAGAGGTCAAAGGAGCCGTCGATGTAGACAACCTTGGCCCCCGGGGGGGGTGACCGCCCGCTGCTGAACTGCACGATGCGGCGGGAGGTGGGCATGAAGCGCGACACCGTGACGTTTCGCTCCTTGGGCGAGTCGGCGGAGCCGGCGGCCGAGTCTTCGTCGATGTCTTCCAGCCTGAAGTTGCCCTTGTCGCGGCCCCGGCTGAACTCTCGGGTGAGCAGCATCTGGGAGGGAGGGCGGAGGGAGGGCGAGTGAAGGGGTGCATTGGAGCGATGGGTTTGAATTTGCCTTGGGAGAGGGTCTCCATGAGCCGCAAGCAACATACCCACTGGCCCAGTGCACGACAAGGAACCAATGCCCCACCCGTGGAGAGAAATCCAAGGAATGCGCACTGCCCCCCCCCACTCAACTCCCCTGCGACAACTTGCCTGCTTCTCGTCGCTCTCGTTGAGGGCGTTCACCCGGGAGCAGATGAGCATGCGGCCCACGATGTCGGTGGTGCTCACGCCCTCGGTCCTCTTGATCTGTTGCAGGGGGGATGGGAATGGGGGTGGGCTGGAGCCGTGAGGTTGCAGGCCCCGAGCCTGCCAGTACCCGTGCAGGCCTTGCAAGGTCTCCAGCCGCGCTCCAGAGCCTGGGCTCTGCAGCAGCACGATCCACGGCGACCCCGACCTACAACTCAGCCGTCCAACCCACCATGAGGAAGCGGCCCAGCTTCTTGGCATGCTCGTACGCGTCGGTTCCGTCTGGCAGGAGGCAGGGGTCGTCGCCATGGATCACATAGTCAATCTTGTGCTTGGTGATCAGCTCATCGAGGAAGGCGGGGGTGAGGTCGTAAGGGACGTCGGTGATCACCTCGTCCACCCACTTGACCGACTCAACCAGCTTGCGGCGCTCCTCCTCGTTCAGGATGGGGGGACCCTTGCACCGCCGGATCTCGGAGTCGGGAATCAGCCCCAGGACCAGCTGATCGCCCAGGGACTGTTAAATGGGGGCAGGGAGGGGCAAGGGGGTGAGGTTGACGAAGCATTGGACATTGAAGCATCCAAACCGCGCCTGCACCAGGATCCTGGAGCCCCCTGGATTTCATCATCAAGCTGCAAGTAAGAGAACACCCTGCCAAAGTCTACAGGGTTTGCCCAGAGGCATGCCTTGGCTTGCCGCAGGGCATTAGCGTGGCCGTAATGCATCAAGTCAAAGCACCCGTCCATGTAGACGCGGATTGGGCGGCGGCCTGAGGGAGTGGGCATCGAGAGGGAATATCGATGTAGGAGAGGGGACGCAGGACGAGGCTCATCGTGAACTCCCGCTTCCACAAAACAACGTGCAGCGTCCTATTTCACATCCACAACCCTATACCCCTGAAGAGCTCACTTCTCCTTCGCTTGGCATGTTTGTCTAGGAGGCGGGACACCCATCCGGTGAAAGTCCCTGGTCTATATTGGTACTGCAGAGCGGGTGGGGCGGAAGGGAACGGCTGTGAACAGAAAGGAGGCTCACATCAAGGGCGTCCACCCACCCAGTCTCCTCCCAGGCACTACACCCCACTTCACGCCGGTCCACTTCGTGCCCACCTGGAGCGGAACATAGCTGTAATAGCTTTCTCGGGTGAGCCACCAGAACGCAGTGCCGGCCACACACACGCCGGCCGCCGCACAGGACAACCAGAGCACCCGGTCCTGGGTACTGGCGTCCCGGTACGTTTCGAGAAGGTCTGCCAACCCGGAGGTGGTCTCCCTTCTCGACATTACGCCTTTTCAAATGCTCTGACGGATGTGGATCACTTTTCAGGCCCTGCTGTGGACCCTTGGTAATCACGCGGGGCCTACTTGCCGTAGTCAGAGCCGACTTCGAATTCCGTCACACCCAGTCCGCCGACAGGAGGGACATGGAGGTGTACCCTTTAAGATCAAGCGAGATGTTCTGGAACAGGTGATGTGCGCCGAGGAGCTTTCGCATGCAGCTGTGAAAGTTTGGGGAATAGGGCGATTCTCTCCTAGGAAAACCCCATGCGAGGAATATCCCCGCGTTTAACAAGATCTCTGCTCACTACTTGCCTGTGCCTGATCCTTCTCACATGTGCACATACCAGCTGCAAACAATTTCCAACACACCCCTTTGGATTCGTGGTCCCATCGCAAGGCAATACGTTCCTTGAAGTGACAACCATGATGATGGGCACTAAATCTGAGTACTGACGGCGGCCACCCTCCACCATGGATGCCACACTCGTGCTCAGTCACGCTGGCTGTCATTGCTTTGGTATATTCAAGCCGGTACAGAGTGAAAGTCAAGGGTGCATGTACTGCAACAAGGCCCCACTCTGTCGACTATCATGCTGTGGCTCCATTCAGCCATACCAGTTCATCGACACTTACTGAGCACCCAATGCATTTCCCTGTCAGACAGCAACAGTTACTTGCGGAGATTGGGCTTCGCTTAAGCTCCATGGATCCGGGACACTAGGAAAGTTTTGGAACATTGGCTCTGACTCCACTGTACAACGTCTCCTAGGGTGTGCCCACAGGCGATGGGCTTTAAACGTCAAAGCTGCGTGCAGATGCTAATGCTTTGGAACACAAAATGACCACCTGCTTTCAATACTGATGAACACGTTCCACTATTCATTTGGTGGAAGACTTGTGCTGGCATAAGCAGTTTGATGTTCGAGCAGCATCTGCAAGGTGCATGACAATTCGCACCCTGAAACCCTGCATCCAGGAGAGAGTGTGAGGGCACCCAAGCACATCGGGTAAACTCAAACAATCGGACTTCCTCTTCAGTAAAGATCAGAGGCTTATTTAAATCCTGTGCACGTATCAACTCACTATAAATAGTGATTGTGGGAACTATCGGGACTCGCTCACCTGCCGTCGACGGAAGGCACGACGATCACTTGTGTTTCCCAGGCTGGTGTCTCTGGGTGCTATTCGTCAGATATCCATAGGCCTATGGTGATAAACCCGGCGACATGATCGTTGGAGTGGCCGTGGTCAGCCCCCAGGTGATCTGGCGCGAGCCCGGCCGGTGACCGAACGCAGTTTGACGGCAGCACCTCCTCTCTCACGCAGCCCCCCCTTGCCACTGCACAGAACCGACCGATCTACTTCTGCGACTTTCTCGGGGACGTGTCAGATCCTCACCGACTCCAGCAGATCATATACTGCTCGCTTGACGCAGTAGAGGAGAAAGGTGATGAAGAGAGTTGGCACAGGTGGAGTGTGCAAGCACACTCTTCCCGAGATTCGTTGTCCTCAACTTGCGTGCACCCTCCCCAATGCAGTACCTCCCGTTGGTCGGCCCCTTGGCGGCTGGAGCGATGCCTATCTTGGCGTAATTCACGTCTCACTAGAATTCAGGGTTGCCGGGTGAGCTTGCTGGGGCACATCCCAGTGGGATGACCGATCCTTGGTCATTGCCCTGTGCTGGCCGAGGGATGTGGTAGGCATCCCTGTGTTTCTTGGAGGACTCGGGTCCACGCTCAGTCGCCTCCCTTCCCTCCCACCATCTGCAGGTATGTCACAAACACCCGCCACCGCCTCTTCTTGGTGGTGGACGACGAAACAATGCGTGATGAGGACCTCCGATTGATCTTCCAGAAGCTGCATGCTGCCCTGGCAGATGCCCTCTCCAATCCTTTCTACACCACGCAAACGGTGAGATGCGCTGGAGGGTCTGATGTGGAGTCCTGGGTGTTGCTGCGGGTGGAGCCTGGACGGGCAGGGAAGTGGGTGTCAGAAAGGTCGGCATACCACCCCTGCACTCTTATGTCAACATGATTTGGCACTCATTGAACTTGCACTCTGGTCGAATGTTTCCGCTTGTGAGGGGTGCGCAGTGGATCATCATCTCTGACCCAGTTGACCTCACTGCCTCCCCACATGAACTCTCTTCTCAATGCAGACGATCAAGTCAGTGTCTTTTGCAGCTGCCGTGCATGCCATCATGGAAGGAACTGGCGTCTGACTGCGCTATCAAGAGCGTGTGATGCAGATTGCGATGCTGGTGTCAATGACAAAGTCATTTTCTAAGCATGCTTGGGGTTGATGAGAGACAGCTGAGCAGGCCCCCCCGGGGGGGGGTTGTCCCACTGAACAACAAATCTTATCACCAACCCGCTGTGGAAGACTTCTTCGACCGCCAGTCCACTAGATCCAGCTCCTCACCACCATCGCTGCCGCTTTCGCTGCCGTCTCCTGTCAATGCAAGAGCTGCTGCCGCCTGCAGTAGGGTCAAGGGCCTCCGTCGATCATAGTGCACATGAAAAGTCTGAGAGAATGACCGCTCCGCTCCCAGGTCAACCTCAGGCTATGCACCCACCAAGCTCTTCACGCTGTACTAAAACCCCTCCACCCGCCTCAAGTCCACCGACAAGACCTTGCGTTTCTTGGCCAGGGCTTGCTCTGGAAGCCTGACGGCAGCCTCGGGTTCTGTCAGAATCGCCACAGCCTGCTCCAGGATGGGATCTGCATCCACCCCCTTGGCATGGGCGGCTACAGACCGCTGCATCTGCTGCACACGCTGGAGTCGCACACTGTGGAAGGGCGGACAAAAGGAAAGCATGCAAGGGTGCCTGGCGGGCGTGCAGGGGTCTCATGATTGTGTACTGAGTAAGATGGACCCCAGGATCAGACAGAAACATCCTCCTGATCACACACAGACCTCCGCAGCACCCCCCGACTCACAACTGCTCGAATTCATCGCGGGCCTGACGGTCTGTTGCCGACTCCTGCTCCTCAGCAGCCTGCTGGGATGCTGCAGCTGTCGAGTCCACCTCCACATGCTTCATGAATGCTGCATACTCCTGCAGGTATGTAGGGGGGATCCGGGGTGCAATGACAAGCTGTACAAGATGGCGAGATGAGTTTGATTTAGAGCAGGAAGAAACCATTACACGCGTCCCAGGCATGGCTGCACCAGGCTTGGTTGGCTGTGATTTCATCACACGCAAGCCCTGCTGCCTTCCAGTGCAGCGACACAATTCCATTTTTCGGCCGCAATCAAAATATTTCTCATACCGTGGCCATCTGGTTTTTGGAGATGGGCTTCTCACCCCGAGCCTTGGCGTCCGCAGCCTTGTCCGCGAAGAAGCCTGCGGCGGAAGGTAGAGATGTGATGGCAACAAGGTCAGTTTGAGGTTGCATGAAGGGATGCGCTTGCCCTGATGAACTGAGCGGCGGGGCATGGTCCCTGCACATGCACAGCAAGCCCTGTGGGATCTCTGCATGCCACAGAGTACACTGATTCACCACAATGGCCAGGGCCACCCACCTTTGGGAATGGCGCCTTGGGTAGGTTCGGTGCCAGCTCCCCGGTCGTTGTGGCTGACAGTGTTCTGCCCGCTGGTGGCAGGGTCAGGTATGGAAAAGAAGTCAGGTGGAAGCGATGGTGCTCCAGGTCCGGCTTTGGGAGCTGGCATGTTGCGGCCATCTTTGCCAGGGACTTGCTGTGCGGCCTCGGGCAGAGTCGCCCTGCCGTGCAGGGCAGACGTCACCGAGGGTTGCCTCGACTCTGAGCCTGGAGCTGCCTGATTCACAGAAGAAGGCCCTGCGGATGCGTGAGCGATGCCGGGCCCCTCCAGCTGCGTGATCTGAGAACTTTGGCTGACACCAGCGGTGGAGGTTTCTGTCGGGCCTGTGGTATCCGCACCAGCTGACACGGATCCGACATGCCTGACGTCGCTGGGCCCAGCTTGCGCTCGCTGCTTCTCTTTCAACTCCCGGATCTGTGCCCTGCTCTGCAAAGCGAAGTGTAGGACTGGTGTTCACATCGGGGCAGCACCGTCAAGATGCCCGAGTCCCCGCATCATCACCCCTTCCACGCCTTGCCCCGTACCAGCTTGGCTGCAGCCGCACGACCAGACTTGGCAGCCCTGAACTGACTCTGAAAGTCTGCCTTGCCCGACATCGGGTTGTGTGGCTTGTGGAATACTATCCCACCTAGGCTTCTCAATTCAGCTTTAAAACCAAGTAGACTTAAATGTATATAAGAGCATGTTAAGTCACAGCTGAGCATGCATGCACACAGAAGCACTCCTTCGAGACCACAATCCCGTCGCGCCCTACGAAACCCCTGCACTGCCAGCCGTGCAGGTGGACGCCAAGAATGGAATATTCCTCGACATGAATTCGCAGATCGCGCATTGCTAGTAGCCGTCTGGGCGTGGGCAGTGCACTGCAGAGTCGCATGGAGTTGCTGTAGTGGTGGGGTTGGGCGACGGTTGCAGACCTTCGACCTGCCCCGCACCATCAGCTTGGCGGTGGCCCTGCCCTTTGCGCAGGAGCGTGGGAGGCTTCGCACCATGTTCACCAGGGGTCAGTTCGCGACCATCGCGGCCGCGACCGTGACGACGCTTTTGTTGGAAATCAACAAGGCCATGCCCACTCCGTACATGGTGAGATCGGTGGAGGGCGGTCGGAGAATCCATGGTGGGTCCCATGCGCTGCACTCGGCATGCGAGCAGCCGCCTTGCGATAACCCATGATGCAACTTTCCTTTTTACAGGACGAGGTCTTCCATGTTGGCCAGACCCAGCGATACTGTCGCGGTGAATTCTGGGAGTGGGACCCCAAGATCACGACTTTCCCTGGCCTGTACCTGATCGGGAGCGCCGTCGGGGTGCTGGCAGACGCATTGCAAATAGGCCCACAGGTATGTGTTCAAGTGGCCAGTCCCTGCCTCTGTTTCGCGAATAGACACCCTTGTTGTCCTTTGGCACACCGGCGAGCAGCATCCACCCCTTCAGTGTCACTGCCCCCTTCATCAAGCACAGGGGTCCATCTGCAGCGTGGCCGCGCTCCGCACCGTGACCGTCCTCCTCGCCGTGGCCTGCGTACCCGTCTTCTTTGCCACGGCTAAGCTGGCGGTGCCTTCACGCACCGAAACCCAGGCCCTCCTCATCGTGAGCGCTGGCGTCAGCAATGTTGATCAAGTGGTGGGGTGTGGTCTTGCATCATGGCCTGGCAGGCCTGGCGGGAGCGTGTCAGCAGCGAGGCAGTGGGCGTCGCTGCCAATGCCAGGGCCGCGCCGCTGATCAACCACCCCTGTTGCCTGGGTGCTGATGCATGACTCTCCTTCCTCCTGTCCCTTCCCAATGGCACATGCACACATCACCCCCCCCACCAGCCAAGCCCCTGCCCCCACACACAGGCAGCGCTCTGCTGCCTGCTCCCCACCCACTTCTTCTTCGCCTTCCTGTACTACACCGACGTGGCCTCCACGCTGGCCACGATGGGTGCCTATGCGGCGTCCCTGCAGGGCCGCCATGCCCTGTCGGCCGTCGCGGCGGCGGCCGCCATCGCCGTGCGCCAGACCAATGCGGTGTGGGTGGCCTTCATGGTCGGCGCGGGCGTCCTGCGCGACGCCGGCGTCGCGCGCGGCGGTGTCGAGGTCGAGGCCCGAGCGCTGCTGGCCTGGCTGCGCGCCCCGCGCAACTGGAGCCTACTGGCGCGGAACTGGGGCGCGCACGCCGCCCTGCTGGCAGTCTTTGCCGGCTTCCTGGTCGCCAACGGCGGCGTGGCGGTGGGCGACCGTGCGCACCACGCCCCCGCGCTCCACGTCGTGCAGCTGTGCTACGCCGCCGCATTTGCCTCGCTGGCGGCGGGCGCCGCGCTGGCGCCTGAGGCGGCGCGTGTGGCGCGCCATGCCGCCTCACGGCCGGGCCTGGCCGCCGCGGCGTGCGTCGCGTGTGGTGCGGCGGTGGCCGCTACCACGCGCGCGCACCCCTTCCTGCTGGCGGACAACCGGCACTACATGTTCTACGTCTGGCGGCGCCTCATCGCGCCCGCGCCGCTGCTGTGGGTGCCGGCGTACGCGCTGGCGCTGGGCTCGCTGTGGACCGGGCTGGGCCGGGCCAACGGCGCGCTCTGGCGGCTGGGCCTGCTCCTGTCCACCGCCCTGGTGCTGGTGCCGTCGCCGCTGGTGGAGCCGCGCTACTTCACCGTGCCCACGCTCCTGGTGCTGCTCCATGGCCCGGCGCCGGGGACCAAGGCCGGGGTCGCGGGCGCCGCGGCCTTTGCCGCACTGAACATCGCGACCCTGCTCGTCATGGCGCATCGACCTTTCATCTGGGGGGACGGCACGGTGGCACGGTTCATGTGGTGACGGGGGCTGAGGCCCTGCATGGGTGCTGCTGGCCACCCTGCACCTGGAGGTGTAAGTGTCCACTAAGCAGGAAGCAGACCTGGACAGCCACACACGGGGCGATGTCCGGGCACTGAAAACGTCATGATAAATATCGATGGATCTGAATGCAACGGACACGGGGTGCTTCAGCTTCGGCGCGCCGGGGAGCTAGGTCGTCCGCGCGACGGCCAATGTTACGCGGAAGGTGGGGGCGTAGCAGTGGGGGCACGACGGGCCTGGGGCCGAGCAGCACTGCCAGCCGATGAGGAGCGTTAGCTCCACCATCCCCTGACAGACGTGCATCACCCGTGTCTTAGTGTCAAGGTGTTCTGAGATGGACGTTGGGAGCTGGAGGTGGGTGCTACCCAGGGGCATGGCAATTTGTCCCGGGAGAGACAGGTGGTTCGAATCCCAACGGTTTCTGTTGCTGGCTGCGACGCATATAAGCGGCATCCACGACACCAGCTCCACAAATCTCTATCCCTCACACACTCCGCACTCTCGGCAACCAAGGTAGGATGCTCTGGAGATCAGCTCCTGCGCCTCGCATGCTCGCATCGTGCCCCGCCCACGACCTGTAAACCCCTTCCCCCGAAAAGTTTCCGTCCCGCTGCGTGCTGGCACCCCATCCCATCAAAACGTAATCATCCCATACCATCATGTCTTTCGCAGGATCATGAAGACCTTCGCGCTCACAGTCCTGCTCCTCGGGACGGCCTACGGGGCCGCGGCCGTTAAGCGTACGTTGGGAGGGCCTGGGCCGACAGATCACCATTGGCCGAGGCCATCTTTCATGAGCATCTCTCCACATTCCTTGCACCCGCTTACCATCCATCTCGTCACCCTGCAGCCGGCGAGTGGTGGGTGTACCCCTTCCTCAGCACCGCGGTGGACCACCAGAAGAGGGTGCTGCAGGTGGAGGGCGATGGCCGTCTCGGCGCAGACATGTTCTGCAAGTCCAAGGGCTACTTGAAGTCTGGTGACTTCCTGGAGCTGGAGGAGGCCGGCAACATCTGGCCCATCGGCACCACCAACCTCGCCAACGACCAGTTCTGGACTGGCGCCAACGCGACTGCCTACCTCTACATCACCTGCCTGTCCCTGGAGACCCAGAGCCCCAGCATTGGCCAGGGCGAGAACGGCAACATTGGCTACAAGAACGTGAGTTTTGGTCGAGGGGGCAATGATGGTGTTGCAAAGCTAGGCTTGCTCTATGGGGTTCTGTGCATCTGCTGTCTTGCCATCCTCATGTCAGGCACCCTTTACCCAACCTGCAGACTGGCATCAACAACATCGGCAACTACAACAGCGGCGAAGCAAATGTTGGCAACCACAACGCTGGTGACTTCAACATGGGCGATGGCCAGTGAGTCGAAGCGAAAGGCGGAGGGACATCCTGGTGATCCATGCTGCTCCTTGCACCGCATTCACATACCTGGCTGACACACCCTCTATGCTCTCTTGCTGCAGTGCCCTGGGATCCGACAGCAATGTCGGCTTCTTCAACGAGGGCATGGGCAACACCGGCACTCGCAACAATGGCACCGGCAACGTCGGCACCGAGAACGACGGCATTGGCAACAAGGGTAACCACAACGACGGCACTGACAACGAGGGTAATAGTAACATCGGCTTTGCCAACGACGGCAACAACAACATTGGTACCGAGAACAACGGCAACAACAACACCGGCACCGACAACGTTGGCCTGAACAACCTGGGCACCAACAACTTTGGCAAGAACAACGTTGGTACCAACAACACCGGCTCCAACAACTTTGGCTGGGCCAACACCGGCGCCAACAACAGCGGCTTGAACAACACTGGCGTGAGCAACAGCGGCACCAACAACATTGGCGCCTACAACAGCGGCTTTGACAACGTCGGTACCTACCTCAAGGGCACCAACCAGACCAACATCTAGGGCCACTCGGGTCCCGAGGAGAGCTGAGAGACTCCCCTTCCTCCAAACCTCTGAGGGGCCCCTGGGCACCCTTGCGCCTCACAGGGGCCCAGAGGTCATACGTGACTTCACCCAGCATTTTTGCCGTACCACGCTCTGATCCCTTCTTGTGCACCTTCCCTGCTCGCTGGGGTATCATGGAACATCACTATGCATCGTGGTTGTAAGAAGCAAATGCACTCTTCTCTGGTCAGATTCTGGGAGATCACGTCAGATTCTGCTGCCCCGACCTGGCAACTGCTTGGCAATACCCATCACGGTCAGCGCGCTGCGGGGCCCCTCTACCCGATCGAATCATCACATAGGTATCTACAACGTTGGTGGGGGTTTGCGGGGTCATTCGTAGGGCCCCTGGCTTGATGGCCTCGCCGGGGTGCCTCCTTTCCACCCTCTGGATGTGGATCGGATTGCCGGGTTGGTCGGGGCGCGAGCTCCCGATGTGGGCACCCCGTTGACTGTGAAGGTCCTCTCCGGGGCCTACACATCGGCATCGTCTCAGGTTTCACGATCTGCATGCTATCTATGGGACTGTGACTCCGCCGGCCAGGTTGTGGTGCGCGAGAATCCTCCCCGCTCCTGCCTTCTCATTTCCCTGACGGGAGTCGCCGCTGAGCACCGGGCGGATCATGGGCGTCGGCACACTCCAAACCCCATATACATGTTGTCGTGCATTCACGTGAGGAATGGTGTGGCAGGGTCTGGGTCGCAGGCCGGGTGGCCCTGGCTCCCCCTGCTCCCTTGCCTCAGACCTGCTCTCCCTTCCATCCCTGCTGCGCGCAGGCATAGCGCACGGTATGTCCCGCGACGCGCGGCTCGAAGCCGTGGCCACCCGGTGAGGAGCGATGCTATCCCGCATGTGCCCTGCCCTTTTCGCCCAGGCCCAAACTGAGCCCCATGCTGGGGTTACCACTGTCCCTGCCTTTCTTCTTGCCTCGGGCCCCCCCTCAGCCCCGCCCGCCCCTGCCACCTCTCCACAGACGCGCTGCACGGCCGAGGTGAGGGCCCGCCCCTCCGCCAATGGCGCGCAACCCATGACCGCCTTCGACTTCCGGCAGTACATGCAGCAGCGCGCCGCGCTGGTGGACGCAGCGCTGGACCTGGCAGTGCCGCTGCAGTACCCCGAGAAGATCAACGAGGCCATGCGGTACAGCCTGCTGGCCGGGGGCAAGCGCGTGCGCCCCGCGCTCTGCCTCGCTGCCTGCGAGCTCGTGGGCGGCCCCCTGGAGGCGGCCATGCCCGCCGCCTGTGCCATGGAGATGATCCACACCATGAGCCTCATCCACGACGACCTCCCCGCCATGGACAACGACGACTTCCGGCGCGGCCAGCCCGCCAACCACAAGGTGTGTGTCATCGTGGTAGTTAGGGGGGTGGGGGGCCCTGGGCGGAGGGTTTGGAATTGTCAAAGGCCGGGCGTTGATGCGTGGGGTCCGGGAGTCGGGGGTCTGGGGCCTTGCGCATCTTGCTCAAGGGGCAAATGAGCCTGAGGAGCGGCTGCCGTGGCATGCATGTGCATTGTCCAGGGTCCCAGCGGTCGAGTCTGCTTGCAGTGTCGGTCGCGGCTGCCTCGACCGTCACCCATGCCCCGCCGGGCGATCGCAGAGGCCCCACACCACACAGCCAGCCCTTTGCAGCCAGCCGCCTGGCCACTTCCTGGCCCAGGAAGAAGATACGGTGGCACAGAACTACCCCCCAACTGCCCCTCCCTCCCATCTGCCCAGGCCTATGGCGAGGAGATTGCAATCCTGGCGGGCGACGCGCTGCTGTCGCTGAGCTTTGAGCACATTGCGCGCGAGACGCGAGGCGTGGACCCGGTGCGCGTCCTGGCCGCCATCTCGGAGGTGGGGCGCGCGGTGGGCAGCCGCGGGCTGGTGGCGGGGCAGGTGGTGGACCTGGGTTCCGAGGGCGGCGGCGTGGGGCTGGCCACGCTGCGCTACATCCACGAGCACAAGACCGCGGCGCTGCTGGAGGCGGCGGTGGTGTCCGGCGCGCTGCTGGGCGGCGCGGAGGAGGCGGACCTGGAGCGCCTGCGCACCTACAGCCGCGCCATTGGCCTCGCTTTCCAGGTGGTGGACGACATCCTGGACATCACGGGGACCAGCGAGGAGCTGGGCAAGACCGCGGGCAAGGACCTGAGCTCCGCCAAGACCACCTACCCGTCCCTGGTGGGGCTGGCCAGGTCCAGAGAGGTAGGGGGTTTGGGGGGAAGGTCGGGGGTGGGGTGGGGGAGGGAACGGAGACATCAGGAGATGCCCAGTGTGAGACTCCGAAGGAGTTGCTGTGGCCAGCGGCGAGGCCACTGCTTGTCAACCACCGGTCTCCTGTGGGAGAGGCACATGGCCCTGCTGCTGGGCATGCACCCAAAGAAGGTGGGCCATGGTGCTGAGCCTTCCAACATCCACCCACCCCACCTACCACCAGATTGCGGACGAGCTGATCGAGGACGCAAAAGCCCAGCTCACGCAGTACGAGCCGGCCCGAGCGGCGCCCCTCGTAGCCCTGGCCGAATACATTCGAAACCGGAAGAACTGACTGGGGGCCCCCACTGCCCACAGATACGGCGGTGCTTCTCCATCCAGTTTCGGGATGGGAGGAGCGACAGCCGACCCTGTAACCCTGTGACGCGTCTGCCTTGCATACGTACGCATGCCTTGAAACCCATCCATGACCCTCAACAATACCTGGTTGTGTGTAGCTTGGTCCTGAGATGGGAAAGGGGGGAGGGGAGTTGTGTACAGATCTCACACGGTTCCATACCTAGGCTCGTGAGCGCGAGCTGAATCCGCTGGGCACGGGCAGCCTTCAGGACCGCATGATGCGTGCCCCTTCACCTCCACTGGGCGGAGAGGCATGCTAAAACACAACTCAACAGCCTACAGGAATATGTAAGAAATGGCGTCGTGGCTGCAGCAGCGCTTGAAGGAGGCGGAGGGCCTGCTGCAGGCCGTGGATCAGACGGCAAAGGGAGTTAAAAGCACGGCAGGCGCCGCTTTGGAAGGTACGCTTCCGTTCATGTGCTGTGATAAGATGTGAGACGGTGGGGCAGAAGATGGGAACGTTCGTGTCATGGATCTGAGATGGGCACAGGTGTGCACAGACCCACCTCGACCCACCCCCTCACACCTGTCTGCAGGCTCCACGGACGCCCGCGATGCTCACCATGCCCCTCCGATCCCGCGTTCTGTGAGGAAGGAGGTCCCCGAGCGCGAGAATCTGGGCGTGCGGCGCCCCCTGCGAGTCTCCCCGGCAACCTCTGCCTCCGGCAGGGTCTCCCCATCAACGAGGGGGAGAGCGGGCGGCCCGCCGGGCCCGCAGGCCGGCCCATCCAGCAGGGCCGTCGAGGCGAGGGAAGAGACCGGCACCTCCCCGGATGCCTCTGGGAGCCCTGTGGAGCAGGTGTCCCACCCCACCTCTGTGGAGATGACCTGGGAGCAGCTGTCGCAGCAATCCGACGGGGACAGCAGCGTCCGTCCCGGGGTCCAATTGGACCCTCCCAACCTCTCAGAGGGAGGAGAGGGGGTGGGCGAGAGCCCCGACGCCGCCTCGGCCGGCGTGCCGGGTGTCACTGAGGAGCCCGACAGCAGCGAGGACAGCCGGTCTGCAGAGCGCGTGCTGCGCTCCATGGGTGAGGAGGCGGACCCCTGGGGAGGCCCGGCCCCGGCGCTGGGCCACCTGGTCGGCGCCGAGTCTGACACAGCGGCCCCGACGCCCCACCCCCGGCTGGATCGGCCGCCCTTTGCAGCCGATGCGGCCACCGAGGAGGACGAACGAGCACCCCCACTCCTGCCCGGATCCACGGGCCAAGGCCAAGAAGGGCTGGACGATGCGGAGCCGCGCCCTGACATTCGCCAGGTGGCCAGCGATGCCCGCGAGGCGCATGATAGTGTCAGGGATGTGGCTGAGCCTGATGGTTTTGCAGACGCTCACCATACACCACGGCTGGGAGGCTCGGTAGGAGCTGGCATGGCCGCAGTGGGCAAGGTAGGCGGGGCCGAGAGCTCGGGGGACCTCCAGCAGCCGACCGAGGCTGTGCCTCTTGCGCCCGGCGAAGAAGCAGCGGCAGCCTCGACGGCGCAGGCGGCCGCTGGGGGCGATGAAGGGGACCCTGTCCCTGGACCCCGGGCGGGAATGCCATCGACACTGGGGGCCGAGACGTCGGCCTTTGAAGAAGGCGATTCCCGGGATGCGCAGGATGAGCTCGGCACCGCGCCGCTGGAGGAGCAGCCAGACCCTGGTGTGTCGGGGGGAGCGGAAGACGAGCCGGGGCAGGCTGGTTCTGGCACAGGAGACACCTCAGAGGCGCCTGCGACCGACGGTGTGATTCCCTCAGAGGAGGCAGGCCAAGACGTCGCCGTAGCGATGGCGGCCGCGGCGACGACTTTGGCGCCAGCGTCAGCGCCGACAGGCATGCCTCCTGCCGCGACACCGGTCGACGCACCAGCACCGACCGCTGCGACGGCACTGCCCGCAGCGCCGACCGCGCTGCCCGCGGCCTCTTCCTCCGGCACCCCGAACCCAGCGCCGCAGCAGGCGCAGGCGCGGGAGGCGCGCCTGGTGCGCATGGTGGAGCAGCTGAAGGCCCGGCTGGAGGCCGCCCGCTCTGAGAACGAGCAGCTGGAGGAGTTGCTGGCGCGGGCCGACGCCTCCGCCTCCGGCCGCGGCGGCGAGGTGGCGCGGCTGGAGGACGAGCTCGCCGCGCTGGCGGCGGCCAAGGTCTCGGCCGAGGCGGGGCTGCAGCGGCGGCTGGTGGCGGCCGAGGCCGACGCCGAGCGCCTGCGCGGCGAGCTGGCGCTGGCAGCCACGCGCCAGGAGGCGGCGGAGGCCACGCTGGGCGCGCTGCGCGCCGAGGCTGCGCGCACGGCAGCGGAGCGCGAGGCGGGCGAGGCGAGCCTGCTGGCCTCGCTGCGCGCCGAGGTGGAAAGCGTGGAGGGCGCGCTGGACGAGGAGCGCGCGGCGCACGCGGCATCGCGCCGCGCGGCCGCGCAGCGCGAGGCCGCGCAGGACGCGCGCATGGAGGAGGCGGCGGCCGGCTTGTCCGCGCTGCAGCGGCGCGCCGAGCAACGCGGGCAGCGCGTCGGCGAGCTGGAGGAGCGCTGCGCCGCGCTGGAGGCGGAGCTGGAGGGCGCCGAGGCCAGGGGGGCGGCGCTGGAGGCACGCCTCGCAGCCCGCGGCGACCCTGGCGAGGGGGAGGATGGCGAGCGCGCGGCGGAGGCCCTGGGGTCGCGCGTCGCCGAGCTGGAGGCGGAGCTGGCTTCGGCGACGGCAGCCGCCGAGGCAGCCGAGGCCGCGCGCGCCGAGGCCACTGCCGACGCCGCCCACGTCCGCGCAGAGGTGGGAAGGGGGCAGGATTGGGGGGCTGTGGGTCTTGAGGGCTGTTCATGCAAACGAGGCTGAAGTGCCAGCACGCTCTGCGTGTTGCTGGAGCAGGGCCTGGGAATGCGTGTGGGCGTGCTTGGGAGAAGACGCCACCCTTTCCATCACTCCCTCCTGGCGTGTGCTGCGTGCTGCCGAATCAGGAGACCGCGCACAGACCGTCTCCCCCCCTTTGCCCCTCATTCCCCCCTTTCCTCCTCCGCCCTCGCAGCTGGCCGGCGCGCGGCAGGCGCTGGCCGAGTCGCGGCACGCCGACGTGGTCGACTACCAGCGCCGCGCGCGCGAGGCCACGGAGCTCCTCTTCGCCAAGCAGGCGCAGCTGGAGCGCGCGTCGGCGGACCGCGCCGCGCTGCAGTTGGCGCTGGAGCGGGAGACCGCCAACGCGCGCGCGGCGGCGGCCGAGGCGCGGCGCCGGCACGGCGGCGGCGGCGGGCTCGGCGGCGACCGCGGCCCCGGCGGGCCGCTGTCCCCCGGCCTGGCGGCCGAGGACGTGGTGCCCCTGGACAGCCTGCGCTCCTACCGCCGCCTGGCGGAGAACCAGCGCGTCGGCCGGGCGGTGAAGACGGGGGCCGAATACCTAGATGCGGGCGCACGGGAGGTGGGAGGGGAGGGGGAATGGGCGGGAAGGGGAGTTGGGCGGGGGGTGGGTGGGTGGCAGGAGGGGCGTCTGGCAATTCCGCATCAGCTGTAAGTCTCCGGTCCGCGTGCGCTTGACGCCGATGCCCTCTGGCGGTGGAGGAAGAGCGGTGGGGCTGGTGCGCATGGTACAGATCGTCTTTCCTGTGGGAGCTCCGGCCGCCAGGCTGCCGCCGCCTCTGCCTGAATTCAAAGACTCCTTTACCCCCCTCCCACACACCATCCACATAAACCAACGATGCCTGCCCGCAGGCGGTGCGTATCCTGCGGACCTACCCCGCGGGCCGCTTGGTGGTGCTGGCCTACCTCCTCTTTGTGCACGTCATGATGTACCTGCTGCTGCACCGCCTCCAGCGCCGTGCGTTCGAGGGCGGCGGCCGGACGGGCCTCAGCGTGGCCGCCCTGCGCGCCCACCGCGACGAGATCGGGACCTAGGCGCTGGACGCCGTGCGACCCCGGTGCCTTGAAGCCTCGTGCGCCTTTTCGGATGGCTCTTGGCGACCCTCACATCTGCTTGAGCTCACTGAGCACGACACAGCCTGGCCCCACACGATCTGCACATGCCCAATCACGGGCTGCCTGTTACACTCACGCATTGCGGTCAAAAGCCTTGCACACAGACTGCAAGGCAGAAGATCATCGTACACGCCTGTTCCCCATTGCAATCAGGCGGCGGGCACCGAGTTGTATGCCTCCCCCGGCTTCAGGGTCTCGTACACCTGGCGGCTGACCAGCCACCGCCCAGGCTCGGCCTCCTGCAGTTCCATGCACACGCGGTATGTCCTCCGCACATCGCCCGTGTGATCACCTGTTGTGGCATGGAAAGGGGGAGGAGGTGAACGGGGGCCCCGCGCTTGGCGGTCATGCCAGGCTGGACCATTACCAACCAAATGGGCAGGCAGGAGGAAATCCATCCAGCACTGGGTGCCAAATCTTCCCGTCATGCTCATCCCCCGGACCCCCTCACCGCCCCGCCACCCTTCCCCCACACGCTCATGCTCACCGGCTTTGAAGGGCTGGACTCGCTCCACCGCCTCCACCTTCCAGGTGTTGGCCACCCCCTCCCGGACCACGATTGCGCCCAGCCACTCCCGCCACTCGCCGCGCCCGGCAGCCACCTGGGCCATGCCGCCGTACCCCGGCCCCCCAAGGTAGTCCAGGTACTCCTGCTTCCCGCACTCCACCCCCTCATGCTTGTAGAAGAAGCCGTCCGACAGAAACTGTGCCCGTGGAGGCGCATGTGCGTGTGAAGTGTGGGTGGGAAGGCTGGAGGGTGTCATGTCCATGACCATGTAGTGCCCGGTGCCTGGGCAAAAGGTGTTGCAGGGGCATCCAAGCGCGGCGCGGGATGCGAGCAACCCTTTCACCCAACTCGATACAGATGGCTCCCGACACTCTGGACACGTCAGGGATCCTCTGGTGCCCCACCATCCCAGTCCGCCCTGCCCCTCACCTCTCCCAGCCGCGCGACCGTGTCGGTCAGGGGCTGGGGGGCGATCCCGCAGAACAGCTCGGCGGCGGCGGTGGTCATGCCCACCACCGCACGCCGGACGGCCACGCCCGCGGGGCGTGGCTCGGCGTGCTCGACGAACTCAAAGTGCTCCAGGGCCTGGAAGATGCCGCCGGGGCCGTCCTCCGAGGCCTGGCAGGACGGTGTGCCAGGGGCGGATGGGTGAGGGTGGAGTACGGCGGGCGGGCGATGCAGTGCATGCACTGGAGGCCGTGGAAACTGGCTGCCTGGGCCCCTGCCCAAGGTGCACCACGCTCCCCGAGGGTACCACGTCACGCCGCGCGCAGACAGTGTGCGGCCCCTGGGCCCCCTAGAACGATAGCCGGGGACCCCGCCCGGCACGCAGCGCACCCTCCCCCGGCACCAACACCTGAAAGAGGGTGCTCGACGCATGGGCGTCGCACCAGGCCCTGAGCTCCGGGTGGGCGTTAGCCACCATGCACCCATGCACGCCGGCAACGGCAAACAGCTCGATGTCGTTGCCGGAGTCCCCCGCCACCAGCACGCCATCGCGCGGCCGCCCAGCGCCCCCGTCCATCTGCCGCATTCGGGGGATGCAAATGAGTGCATGGGGGGTTGGAGTGGGGTGCGGGGCTGTTGGAGCCGGGTGCGGGGCGGCGGTGAGGAGTGGCTGGGGGTCCATTGGAGTTGGACCATGCCAGGAGGCAGGTGTGGGTTACAACCCAGCGCACGGGTACTGGCACCAGGGACTGAGGGAGCGTCATTCGCCGCAGGCTGTAGCGCTCACTTTCCCTCCCTACATCATCTACTCTCCTCCCTTTCCACCAGTCCACAGCCCCGCACCTCCTCTAGGAGAAAAGCCAGGGCCTTGCCCTTGCTGGCGGCTGCCGGGAGGAGGTCGAGGTCGACGCCTGCAGAGTAGATGACGTTCACCTCAAGCCCTGCCTGCTTCAGCTTGGCAGTGAGCTCCTGGACCACCGCATCTGAGCCGGAGGAGACCTTGAAGCTGATCTTGTGCGGCCGCTGCTCGCTGGCATCCTGCGTTGGGTGATGTAAGCTGTGATAATCATTCAGATGTGAGAGGATGGGGACCGCATCCAAGGTTTAGCAGCATATGATCCATGTGACTCATCGCCAATGCCCATTACCTAACCCGGCATGGCACCAGTCCTGCGTGCACCTGAAGAGTAAGGGCAGGCTCGGCCTGTGCAATCTCCAGAGTTTTCTCGCGGTCCCATCCCCTGTCCAGGAAATCAGACCACGGCTTGTGCGGCACACCTGAAAGGGCAGGGCTGGCATGTTGTCGAGGGTGCGACATGCTGTGGGAGGCTGATGCCACGGCTGCATTGGAATAGTGACAGTGGAACCCACCCAGAGCAAATGAGAGAGAGTGGAAATGCCCGACGTCCCAGGCCTTATATCTCACCCTGGAACAGGATCTCGGTGCCAACAGAGCACACCAGGATGTCAGGGACCAGAAGAGGGACCTCGGCCTGATTGGACAAGCAGAGGCATGAGGGTGTGGTGGAGTGTGAGGGCGGAGTGAATCCAGCTTCATAGGTTGCACTGACAGCATGGCTCTCCAACCCCCTTTCCGTCCCCCACCCCAAGGCCATCTCACCGCCAGCTCCTCATACAGATGGGGGGATCTGCCCGTGGAGTACACGAGCAGGGAGTCATGGGAGAGATCCGTATTCCAAACATGGTTCAGGCGGAGGAGCTTGTCGTGCGTGTGATCGTTGTGATCGACCTGAGGGGCCAAGGTACCGGGATGGGGATTGGCAACCGGGTTAAGCCAGATGCCCACATCGGAATTCATGAGACACCCCGCACGCTCGCCTCATCACACGGGGCAAACCGTACCACATTCGCAGCAACATCTCACCATAGTCCAGTCCAGATCAGAGACAAGGGCGAATCTGACCTCCCTGTCCAGGGGACCCTGCTGGGTAGTTTTAGAGGGCTGCATGATGGCAATAGCGATGCCTCTATCGCCTCTGTCTGACGTGCGAATTCTCCTGTGGACAGTTAAATGATGAGGTGTTGTACACAATCAGGGACTCTCATCAAGACATGGGGCATCTTGGATGGAAGGAGCTGCTGCGCAGGGGTCACCATGCTGCGCGTGATGGCGGGAACCATCACCTTCTCAAGGCCACGCGGGGGCAACGAACTCTCGGCTCTGTTGCTGGTGGGGCCCCATCCGTGCCTCTAGAGCCTCGAACAGCGAAGTGCCCGGGCGATGCTAGGTTGAATTACGTCTAAGAAATCAAAGCCGGTGCCCTCTCCTCTCTCCGCGCCTGCCTTTCAAAGGTCACAGCTGACACGTTAGCGATGGCAGCACCCAGCCAAGCCAGCACTCTGGTCAACAGGGGAGGCCGCAGTGGGGGCGAGGGCGCATCTGCACCTAGGTCCACACCCACGGCCACTGCCTCGAGGGCGAGGCGCGCCTCAAGTAAGGACTGTCGGCCTGACCAGGGAGGGTGATCAGCTGGTGCACTGTGTGACCAGGCCGGCTGAGGTAACCCGTAATGGACCGCTGGAATGAGGAGGTGTGGTTTAGGCTAGTATAGGGCTAAAAGTATCCCCTCCTGCGCTGTGCAGCCCGTGGCAGTGCTGCCAAGGGTGGCTACTTCTACACCGACGACAGCTCAGCGATCAAGCTCTCACCGGTGCGCATCACGGCAGTGCGCACATTTGGAGGGTAGCCATTGTGTTGCCACGTGCCTTTAATGGGTGTCTGTATCGATGACGGCACGTGTCTGAGAGCTTCTCCACCATCACCTTTCAGACCGCAGTGATTGGTGCTGCCGTAAGCTTCATCATCTTCGTCTTCATTCTGCACATCTTCGGCAAGGTATTAGTAGGGGTGTGCTCATCATGGCCTTGATGCCTGTATGTGATAGCCATAGGCATGCGACATGATGCTGGAGCTGCATCTCCACCACTGATGGTGCAAGACTGACCCTCCCTCCACCCACACCGATTCCTGAATCCTGTGCAGCTGCGCGGCTGAGGCTCTGACTTCATTGGACCTTGAGACTTACACTAGTGAGAGCCCTTTTTCAAGGTTCCTATGCTCGTTTCGCCTCATTCTGGTTTCCTGACAACCTGGGCTGGCACGGCCCTTCAGGCATGCGTGCGTATTTCTTTGCTGCTTTCAAACCTTTAAGAATGAGGAAGAGAACCCTGGGATCGCTGGTGGAGGTCAGTCACAGGTATCGTGGAGGCAGTCCTCACCAATACTCCATGCTCGCCACGGAAACTCATCTCGGCGTTCCTGCACAGCAGCATGCGGAGCATCCCGGCGCAATCTCCTGCATTGCTCATGCACCGGCTCTCTGCCCAAGTCATGGGCGCGATGGACTCGCAGGATAGATATTTATTTGTTTCAGAGAACATGGCTTCTTGCTGGCCAAGCTGCCGAGTCGGCGAGGGGCAAGGACGATGCCCCCCCGCCCCTCCCATGCCCAGCTGCATTGTCGCTGCAGGTGGGCCTTGAGATCGCGCGCAGAGCATGGTCTCCCTTGGGTACCATGCAAAGTTTGGCGCGCGCCATGTGCTTCACTCCCAGCCCCCAGCTCGATCGGTGAGGCAGGTCGGGATGAGGGGCCCCAGACGGCCTGGCTGTCACCCAGCTGCGCAGCGTCGGCAGCAGGCCTCGGAGGTGCACACTGCGCCTGACACCCTGGGATTGATGGGCATTTCTAATGTGCTTTGGAGACCTCAAATGCCCATCGCACCTTGCACTGTTGCAGGTGCCTAGGGTCCCAGGCAGCTGTAGAGCAGGCCTGGCGAGTGGGGCACCACAGGTCTCGAGTGTGATTGCGCGCCAGCCTCTGCGGCAGCACCAATGGTAGGTCCTGGACAGACATGCAGGGCATGTGCTCCCTCATGCATGCGCGTGCCTGCAGCCCGACTCTTGGCAGGGCAGGGAGGGGCAGGAGTCTGCCGTGCTGGACTCACCCAGAAGGCCGGACGCCTCCCTCCTTCGCGCACAGGGCCGGTGCCCAGCTCCCCGGAGGCCAGCGGCGCAGACGGCATACCAGCCCCCCACGGACCCGCGTGCTGTGCGCGCTGGGCCTGCGCAGCCTGCGGGCGCCGCCGGCCCTGCTCTCGCGCGACGCGCGGCTGGTCCTGCTGGGCGGCCTGGCCGCGACCCTGGTCTGGTTTGCGCTTTCGTTCCTGGGCACGCTGCCCTCGGTCCGTGCCGCGCTCCGGCGCTTCGTCTGGTGGCGCGGCGCGGCGCGCGCCGCGCCGCGCCTCGCCCCGGAGGCCCGTGCGGCGCTGGAGCGCGAGGCGCTGCGGTCCACCGACAGCGACGAGGTGCCGGCGGCGGGCGCCGCGCCGCTCCCCGACGGCGAGGACGTGGAGTGGTTCAACATGTGCTGGCGCAAGGTGTGGCGCGTGTACCAGCGCGGCATCGAGTCCTGGCTGGCGGAGATGTTGCAGCCGGTGCTGGACGGCGTGGTTACCGACTCCCCGGTCCCCGCCATGCTCAAGGTGTGGAGTTTTTTTGGGGGGGGGGGTGTCGCGTGGGAAGGGCTCAGGGTCGAGGAATTGATCCCAGCAGGGGACTCAGTAAGGGGCAAGGCTCAGCCCACTGGCATCCTGTGACGTGGGAGCACGCCTGAGGGCCCCTCGTCTCCTGGCCATCCCCCACTCCTCTTCCCCAGCTCTCTGCCTGTAAGTACTGACCTCCATCCCCTGGGGTCACCCTTCCCCTGGCTCGCAGCGCATCCGCATCATGGAGGTGAACCTGGATCACGAGGCCCCCTACTTCTCCAACATGAGGCGCCGCTCCTCCCGCAAGGCAAGCCTGGGAGGCAGGCGCCCAGACATATGGGGGTGGGATTCAAAAGGGGTGGCAGAAATCGCGTGTGTTGTCGATGTTGGTGTTAGCGCTCCTGGCGCCTCCCCTGGTGAGCAGGCTTGCCCATCCCACCCGTGCAGGACTCTGATCTGTCGGGGGTCGTAGACCTGCGGTACACCGGCGGTGCCCAGGTCGTGCTGGCGCTGGAGGTCGGCCAGGGCCGCTGGAAGGCCAAGGTGGGGGGTATGGCCGAGGGTTGGCCTCTTGGGACCAGGATGAAGGGGGTTGCTGCGTCGGTCCTGGGTGCCAGACGGCTCGTGCTGCCCGATTCAAGCGTGCTCACTGTTGTGTGGCAGTGGCAGGGCTTTCCAGGCCAGCCGGGATGGGACGCCGACGGCCCCGTCTTCAAACTCCCCAAACCTGCCCCCTCCTTCCATCCCGCCCTCCTCAGATCCCGGTGCTGGTGTCTGACCTGGACGTGGAGGCCACCGTGTGGCTCAAGCTGCGGCTGGCCCCCATGGCGCCCTACATCGGCGCGGTGTCCTTTGCCTTCGTGGGGCCGCCCGCCATCAAGATCCAGCTGGCGCCCTACGGCCGCGTGCGCCTCATGAACATCCCCGTCCTCCAGGTGGGAGTGGGCCAGGTTGGACGCGTGTGCCGGGGCTGGGTGCTAATGCTGGTGATTGAGCGAGTCTGGGTGGCTCAGAGGGCCCGCAGGCGCCGCGCCGTGGCCTCGTTCCCGTCGGCTCTTCCTTCCAAGCCCCTTCCACAAGTTCCCCTCCCCGCCAACCCCTCCCTTGGTCACCTGCTTACCCTCCACTCTGCAAACGACACTCGCCCTTCCCGCAGCCCATCCTGTCGCGGCTGCTGACGGTGGCGCTGCCGGGCCTCATGACTCTGCCCCAGCGCCTGGACATCGACGTCCCCCCCGCTGTGACCGCGATCGCGGAGGCCGCGGTGGGGAGGGACGCCATCATGCGCGCCGTGGCTTCGGCCGTGCTTCAGGCGAGAAACTGGGAACGTCTGTGCGAGAACCTTGTGCCCTGCCTCTGATCCTTGCACCCCGGGCCGGTGTGCCCGGCCGCGACCTGCTCCTCGATGCCCGGGTCCAAAACAAAACACGCCTCGCTCCTTCGCCTGCCTCCTCGTCTCCAGGCGGATGCGCTGGAGCACGCGCTGCTGGCGGCGCTGCCGCTGGGGCCGCAGGGCGACGCTGGGGGTGTGTCCCTTCCCGATTTCTTCACGGGGGAGCTGCAGGTGACGCTGGTGGAGGCGCGCGCCCTCCCCGTCTGGGGCTTCCCCTGGCAGAGCAACCCCTACTGCCGCCTGACGCTGGGCGGGCAGGCGGTGCAGTCCCGGCGGGACAGCGAGACGAGCCACGCGTCGCGCCACCGCGCGCCCGCCTGGAACCAGGAGTTCACCTTTCTGGTGGAGGACCCGCGCGTCCAGGTGAGGAAGGGGTACATTCTCGGGCAGGGAACATGGTCCGTCAGAGCT